CCTAAGAGTACATCCACCACCCAGGTTATACCGTCGTCGCAACTCTCCAACAATGCGACCAAGAGGAAACGTGGGCGCCCGCGAAAAGCGCTAATGCCAGAGGAGGTCGCTATATTAGCAGATGCGGGCGATGTATCAGGCAATGGTGTGGCTAATAATAATGCCGCCCAGTCCGTCTTCGATAACTCGGAAAACCTACCGCCGTCAGCTCTGAGCCCAGTCGTAGATTTGCCTGATAAAGAGGAAGCTCAGCAAGTGACAACCAGCGATAATCTTATCGATGATATTATAGAGGCGAGTGGCAGGACACCCACGCCGAGGAATTTCTCAAACTTATATGAGACGTCGCGCACAAGGCAAGATCTAGGATCAGAGGCAGTATCATATCAAGAAGACGAGCTGCACAATAGCGATATTGGTATGTCTGATGACTACCCGGCAATGATGGAGGCCCATAGTGACGTGGAATCGGATTTGGATAATACCGAAGGGATACCTCACAGCGGACAGGACACGCTCGCACATGCCTCCGACTTCAGCATGATCGCTGTGGAATCACTTCCCTCGTTTCAGGCGAATAGAAGTGCCCTCCTTTCGGATCCTCCGGAGATGGGTGAAGAAACGAATATGATAATAAACCAAACGCTAGAGTCATGGCGAAACAGTACTCGAACAGAGGCAGAACAATCATTAGCACGATCGACGAGAAGCAACCTACCAGCGGAGGAAGATCATTCTGGTGTACCGGATCGCTCGTGGGCGGAGGGTAGTAGTCGCAGTCCAAAGGAACGAACAAGGAGCCCGAAAAGACAAAAGCAACTCCCCTTGAGTCGACAAGTATTTGCAGGAAAAACGCCTCACGTAGACGATTCCTTCTCGAGTCTTCCGGATAGTATCCTTAAAGCTGCAACGCCGGGTCGGTTGCCTATGAAGCCGACCTCTGCGGTAGAACAACGCGGAGATACCACTGTGTATGAGGATGAATTTTCCGAAATTTCAGATGCTATTCTCGAGGCTGCTACCCCGAAGCCAGCGACTCGAGTTGGGAATTCTACGGAGGAGAGCCATACGGAAGCCTCTGTCGCAGATGGACAAATCAACTCTGCCAATAGACAGGTAGGACCTGGCTTTGGATCGAGCAGACTACCGACTCCCGATGATACGTCGTCTTCTAATGCTGGCTCTAGAAGGGCCCGGGAAGATGAAGCTGGCCCATCTACAAGAGAACAGGACATTGCTGGTCCCAGTTCTAATTCGGGTTTCCAATCCTCTCCTCCTATTATGAATCGGCCGCGTGCAATGGATTTTGGACCATCTCGGTTAGACCAAGAGATCAACAACACACCAGAATTACAGCATTCTTCCCCTCAGCTACCTCCTTCTGCCAAAGCAGCTACAGAGCCTCCTCAAACTTTAGAACCGCCTCCTAATAGTAGGCCGTCGCTCTCACCAATCGTACGCGTCGGACGAACCCTCCAAGATGTGATGTCAGACAGACCATCCCCTGAACGTCGTGAAAGTAGTCTCGGAAGCCCATTTAGAGGATTGGCTACGAATGACCCTTCACAACCTTTTCCATCGGATCAATCTGGCCAGCTATCTATACCTAAATCGCCAACTCGACCTGGCCGTGGCGTCTCGACCCAATTTAATCCCCGATCTTTATCTGGTCCTAGTGCTGCTCTCTCTCAAATCAGAAGGGCCAGCCTCTCTCATAGCCAATCATCAGCACAAGGTGACATTATTGGCAATGCCTCGGATCCGTTCGGTCCAGCTATGCGCAATAGGTCACAGACCGAAACATCCAGAAGTGCTATGTATAACACTGATGACCGAGCACCGGAAAAAACTCGTTCATTCAATCAGCCGGTGTCTAATTCAGCTAGAGCAATGCCGACGAGTGATAATGGGATAAGCTGGATCGCAGACGACGATAATCACCAGCGAGGCGTGAATCAGGGCCCAGGTCCCCAGTCAATACGTTCCCAAAATCCAAGTGTTTTCGCCACTTACGACTCAAATGCAAGTCGCGCAGCAGCCGAGACCACGAATCACGAGGTAGATGAGCAACAGGAGCAAGAATTGGAGGAACAGGGAGATAGTGCGTTAGTAGACTACGAAGCGGAGGAAGGCGACATCTGGGACTTTGAAGCGTCAAGGCCAACACCTAGGAGACCGGAACGCACGCAACGTACGTCACAGCACCCCGATCAACCCACCCGACGAACGAAGGTTCCAAGTCCCTGGAAAAAAACTAGTAGACGCCTAATTTATCGCGAAGAGATTGCAAGCTCTTCTCAAATAGAAATTGAGGAGAATCCGCAGAGCGAGGCAGAAGATGCGCCACTAGCGCGTCAAAGGCCACGGACTTCGGATGCTCACTCTATACTACAGGGGTGGAATTCTGAGGCTACTCGCATTATGGAGAGCTCGTCTCCTGAAGCTGAACAACAAATTCTAAGCCCTCAACAGGAAATACAGGAACAGCTAGAAGCCCGGGAGGAGTCGGAGCCTCGGGAACATTCAGAGGCCTGGGAGCTATCAGCAGAGTCAGAAGAGTCAGAAGAGTCAGAAGAGCCAGAAGAGCCAGAAGAGCCAGCAGTACGTGAGGAACCAAGAAGACCTGTAGAGCCCGCGAAGACTGTGGAAGCCGTAGAGCCCGCAGAAGCGTCTGAGTACTCGATGCTAGCACAACAGGCAGAGGCAGCTCCGGCTACTCAACAGAAGCCTAAATCTAGGCTATTCGGTGGCTTTGATATCTTGTCTTTCTTCTCATCACCAGCCGCATTGCCTAAGAAGACTCCAGAAGCCGGGCCAGCAAATACAACTGGTATAACCGAAAAGGTCGCCCAGCCTGTATTCCAAAAGCCATTACCCAAAGAAACGGGTCAACCTCCTAAGGAACTGCAGAGGTCCCTTTGGTCTACAGGATTATTTTCCTCGATCCCGCAAAAGGAATTTCAACCGAGTCCAGAACCACGAACAAACATGTTCTACCCGGCACCTCCTTCGCAATCTAACGGGACAAGGCAAGAATCTCACGTAGAAAACTCGCCTTCGCCCGCGCCTGCGCCTGCGCCATCGCTTTCTCCCGAACCTGATTCTCCCGAGCCTCCTTCGCAGTCACTCCAACAATCGCCTGAACCGTCATCTGAACAGTCCCCTGAGCAGTCCCTTGAACAACAATCACCCGAACCGTCTTCTTCGCCCTCACCTCACCCCTCAACACCTGAACGTCAAGCCTATCCGCCAATCGAGCAGAAAAGAAACTTCACGCCGCGGCCAGGTCAATCTAACCTGTCTCTCTTTAGAAGCGGTCCGCCTCCCAGCAGAAGCGAGGCAGACGAGGACCTCCTTCTACTACCGAGCGATGACCAGGACGAGCAAGACGAGGAAGACGAGGAGAGCGAGCAGGATGAAGAGGATGAGGAAGAAGACGAGGACGAGGATGAGGATGAATACGATGAACACGATGAGCAGCAACAAGAGCAACAGGATTCATCGCTCTTAACAGATGGGACGGACTATGAGCGCTTCCCACCAAGAGACGTCCCATCCCGATGGGACAGGACACTTTCACCGTCCAAGTCATGCTTTCGTTCCCCCATGAAACCTACTACCCCGGGTCGGGTCGTGGCTTTTATGCCTAGTGCGCTTTCTTCCACCGCCCAGGCTCAAACTAGTGTCACAAATCACCAAACCGGCGCCAGGAATAATGCAGTCTCCCAAGGGACCATTCTCCGGCCCATCACCGAAAATACACACGACGAGTCAACGGATTCTTCGTCCTCCTCAAGTAGTAGCACCAACGCTACATCTCCTACCACCACTAATCCTCCCATACAGATGCTACCGCAAAATGGCAAAGGTAAATCCACCGCGCGGTCCCCGTCTCGCCGTCCTACCGCTTTCGCCCTATCGAAAACAGAATGGACCCGCCACCACTGGGTACGTTTGGACGAGCTCCTCCAACTACGACGCTACGACCCCCTGGCCTTCCAGCAGCAGCAACAACAGCAGCAGCAGCAGCAGCAGAAGCAACAGTCATGGGTGCAGAGTTGGTGGCGTCGCCAACCCCCAGCCCCCAACGCCTCGGCTCTCATAGGGAAGGAAGTCGCGGCTCAGGGCGAGCGCATAATCCTAGAGCAGTGGCATATCGAAGTCGTAGAGGCGTTCGCCCGCGAAGTCGGCGGGTGGAGTGAGAGTGCGCTTGCGAAGAGAGTTTTTGCGTTGATCGTAGGCGAGGAGAGAAGGAGAACCGGAAGGGCTGGGAGGGTGGATAAAGGGAAGGAGAAGGCCGTTGCCTAGACTTAGGCTTCATCTTGGTTGTCATTATTTAAAAAAAAAAAAAAAAAAATATGCCTCTACATGGCTAGGAGGTGGAAGAGAAAGCAGTGACGAGTTGTTTGAATAAGGGTGCCGGAAAGCGAAGAGCTAATATGCTCTATCATATACCCCAAGTTAAGGACAGAGAGCAAAGAAAAAGGGGGGAGTACGTGATGATTACCTAGGTTAGGTTCTTACATAGCGGGTTTTTTGGTCGATTGGCACCTGGTCCGGTCTGGTTACTTTATCTCAGGGAGCGAGCATGATAGATCGCATCGAATCGCATATCACATCACATCACATTACATTGGCGGGGTATTACTTACTTACTTCTTATACCGTTGGTTTATCTCTCTGTATGTATAGCTGGCGTTTTAGGCCTAGGCCCAGGCAGACAGGCAGGCGTACGGGCAGGTGGGCAAGCATACATGTCATACCTTATACTTGCACTCGGGAGGCGTTGGGATGCGGAAAAGGGGGATTGGCAAATGCATACCTAGGTACCTAGGTAGGTAGTGAGATTGTTTGGGTGCTCGATATTTAATTAGATACCCTTCTATTCGTCTTCATTGCACGCCGTGGTTTGGTATTTTACCTTGCGTATCTACATCAGGTACACATATCTACTACAAAGAAGACAACAAGACGAGTAATAAGACAGACAGCAGGCGTATACCTGAATTGACACAAGTTCATGTTGATATATGTACGAGTGCCAGAGAAGCCGCAACGCCGTCTTCGTCAGCGTCGGGGCCTTGGCCTGATACTTTCTCTACCTAGTAATATTACACTGGCCGAGCTTTCATTCACCTCCTTGAGCGTTGGATGCACGAAGAAGACTTTCTTATTTGCTTAGTTCACCTTCGTAAAACCTCTCCCTTTACAGATCTACTCCAGCATCGAAGCCTGGTTCGTGTACAGGACATCTACGACATTGCTCAACTTCTCAATAGTCTGGAGGGCTGCATCGTAAGACTCGTCACGCTGCGTCTCGTCGAAGATAATCAAGCACCCGGCACCCTGATCAAGCACACCGATGATCACCTTGTCGAGGATCATCTGGGAGAGCTTGCGCTCGACCTGCTGGGTATCGAGGCCGACCATCTTAGCGATGTGGGCGATCTCGACGCGGCTAAAGGGCTCGATGACCTTGATCAAGTTCTGCTCGAGCATAGCGTCGTAGAGGCGACGTAGGTGATTGCGGATGAAGGCGTCGCTGCCGAGCTCGTAGCGGTACGAGGACAGGGCACGCTCGTACTCTTCTAGAGACCGGTTCGAGTGCGCGCGCGCGATGGCCTTCATAGCCTCGAGGTTCTGGCCCGCGTATTTCTGCGCCTGCTTAGACGCCATCAGGTTGTTGACGTCGTCGACGAGGTTAAGCATGATCTTGCAGAGAAGCATGTACTGCAGCGCGGCGGTGGCCTTAGCTGGCTCGTCCTGGGTGTGGTAGCCGTCAAGTGCCTCGATAAAGTAAGAGAAGGCCGTGTTGAAGTCCTGATCCATGGTGTGTAGCATACCTGACTGCATGTCTAGGTTCGCTTGGAGTAAGGGAGGCGTGTAAACCGAGGCGGCGCTCGTCCTCGCGCTGGTGAGAGCAGCACGAGCCTTGGAGTTGTTGCCGAGAGCATGGTATACTCTAGATTCCAATAGTTGAACCTCTACCAATACTAACTTATCGTCCAGACGCTTTAGCTCCCGCAAGAGACCGTTGATAAGGGTAAGGGCATCGTAGTATGATAGCTTAGCCATATACAGGGTAACGAGTCTGGTCTCAAGGTTCTGGCGTAGGAAGCTCCGCCTCTCGGAGGTGGCCCATTCTATACATGACTTGGTGACGGCAATCTGGATGTCGGTTGTGTTTGGGATGGCTTCGAAGAGATCGAGCAGCTGACGGACTATTGTGAAGTGGTGTTAGATGGACGCTTATATTTGCAGCAAAAGCGAAGGAGAGCGGGGAGCGGGGAGCTAGAGCGTACCCAACTTGGCCGTCTTAGCCTTTGCGAAGCTCGAAAGGACGGTTCTGCTCGTGGTAACAAGGTCGACGAGTTCCTTGGGTTTCCTGGACACAGATGTCAGCTTCTAGACGCAAAAGAGGAATGCTAAAGCCAATGCTCACTTCTCATCCCGGTACAGCTCCCCTAAACTTATCAAGGCGGATTCGTATTCCTTTATTGCTGCATCTGAGGTAACAGAGGGGGGTTTGGATATGAGGTCTTTGTAGATAGCTTCAGCTTTTCGCGGGTCGGAGCTGGCAAGCGATTGCGCTTCCTTCACAGACGGCTTCTGCGAAGCCATATTGACTGGCGTGTGCTCGAGATGCGAGTTGGGAATTAACTCGAATTATAATAAGGTAAGGGGGGGGGGGGGACTCTCGAGTGTCGGATTGTGGGTTCGAATTGGTATAGAACAGTTAATACAGAAGTAATAAGGACGTTGTTCAAATGAGCAGGAATTCAGGAATTCAGGAATTCAGGAATTTAGGAATTTAGGAATTATTGAAAGGGTACGTACAAACTGAGCTCGACTCGCCCGCTGTTTCCTACTACAGCTCCAGCCTTGCGATTAGCGATTAGGTGATAAAGTGGATACCTACTGACGCAGCTCTAGACTGCCTGAAATGCTAGTACGGAATAACCCACCATTCCGTTCCCTCTTGCTCTTTTCTTAGGTAAGATTAGCTAACTGGGCGTACCTAAGTACTTTTTTAATACAAAAAAAAAATAGCACATCATTGATGCGAGTTGCCATCAACGCTGTCTTTGAGTTATATAATTGATATAAATACCCAACTTTTTCATAATACCGTAGGATTAATTATATAAATTAGACTAGTACCGAAATTCATCCCAATTCCCCTTGTTGAACGTAATAAGTTCATAACCTACATATCATCCACACTGTAGATATTCACAAATCCAATAAGATAAGTATCCATTATACCAAGTAAAAGCCTCTTTCCCCATCCCTTTTTTCTTTCTTTCAAAACGAGGGTTACCAGAAGCGCCGCCGAGATGTTCCCTATCCATGTCAAGCCCAAGGTCTCGCAACTCCTATGCGTATGTACTAATACGTAGTCCTCCCCCCCCCCCCCCCCTTTTTATATTATCCTTCAGCCTTTTTCATGACCGTCAAACGCTCGTCGTTTCTGTCATGACGCGCCACGATGTCAGTTATCCCTCTACGTCGGATTAGTACTTGGGATGTAATCATTACCTGAGTATACGTGAGCCTGCCAAGTGCGCACCTTGTTTACCCGGCCGTTGGTGGCTTGAGAGCCGCTACCGCCAGGCATATCCATCTCCTGAATGGAGCTGTCGCTCATCGGTCGGTAAGAAAGCGGTCGGGAGTAACTCGACCCCGCTGGACCGCTATGCCTCTTTCCAGCAATATTAAACCCCTCGCCCCCTCCGCTGATATGCATGTTGCCGAATCCAAAATCCCAGCCGTTATATTGATGGACGCAATGCGGCTCTAAAATCTGGCAATTCTCCGTCAGGATTTTGTATGTGCATTGCTCCACCTCCTGAGCCGTCGGCCTCTCGTGGGGGGCTATTGAAAGCATTCTTGCCACTACCTGCAGCATGGGCGCCATACCACAGAACACTTGGTCATCCTTTTTTGATGCATCCTTAGCAAGGCCGGCCATCCATGATTCGACCTGTCCTAGATTTTTATGGAACGACGAGTCTAAAACTGCCCCTCCTCGGCCGGCTTGCTTATGCTTTGCGGATCGATGTGAGGCGAAGGACCGGGTCTGGCGTTTCATTAGGAAACTTAGCAATTCAAGTATCACACATCCTAACGAGAATATGTCGGCTGCCTGAGGGTCGAGGGAAGGTGTCGGCGAGTGGAGCATCGAACCAGTTTCTGGGTTCCCTCTATTTATGGAGAACGACGAGTTATCTGACGATGTTGATCCTGAGGAAGTAACGAGAGTACTTCTTCGGTGGCCGTGGCTAGTTGACGGTCGATACCACTGTTCAGGAGCCGCGTAGTCGTAGGACTCTTTGTCGAAGGCTGATCTGTCCGACGTAGTAGCTATCGCTTCTGCGCTTAGATGGGTTACGTCTGCATAGAAGACATGATTGTTGTTGTTGAAAAGCACAGTCGAAGGTTTTATTCTGCCGTGGGATAGTCCGCAACTATGAAGATAGCACAGTGCGTCAACAAGGCAATGAATCCAGTTCATGAATAGACGTCGTCGATCCTGCTTGGCCAATGACTTCACCGAACTTGGCGTTGTTACTAAAAGGGATCTAAGACTAAAATCGCTTGGGAGAGTAAAAAGAACATAGACAGCGCCCTGGTGGGCATACGATCCGTAATAAGACACGACATGGTCATTTTCAATATTCCTCGCCCTATCGATCTCGTAAAAGAATTCCTTTTCGCTTAGCAGACCAGGGCCCGTTCCAATCGGAATGCGACGCCGAGAGAAGATCTCCCCGGGTCGATTTGCCAACTCGACTCTATCCGCAACGCTGCTAAGGCTTAGCCCGGGGCGCTTATCGACGGTAAGAGGCACGATCTCGGGATTTTCGTATACTATATAGTTGCCCCTTTCTATAAATTTGAGTAGATAGTGAAACTGGCGAGAATAAAACTTCCTCTCAAGTTTGTCGTCCCTGGTGAGCGTAAGCGCTAGCCGTTCGATCTGGTCAAGCGGAATTGGGAGGTCATCGTCGTCCCAACTATCGTCGATAAGTCCAAAAATCTGGTCTGGGACACCTAGGTCTAGAAGAATGAGAAAGATACGCTTGGCCTTTTCGTCAATCCATTCCCAGTAGGTCCCGTCCGTCAAACCATCACCGAAACCAAGAGGTAAATCCAGCCGTTTTATCTCCTCGGGGAGGAGGTGTGAGCAGACAAACTGTCGAGTGACAGTCGCTTCAATCCGCGACGGATCCCACCACATAGCTACCATAGATAGACCAAGGGTAGCATTACACCATAGATCCACCCTAGATCAGTCCAGTCAGTTAATGTAGTCGAACGCCGCATGTAATAAGGTTTGTAAATTCTTGCGACAGATTCGATGGGGCTCAAGGTTGGTGGTGTAAGCAATACAGGGGCGTAGCCCGTTTATAGGATCTACCATCAGATGCGACACGGCACCCGACCGAAGACGCCCGCCAGAGGTGCAACATACAGGTAAGTCAGCACAAAGCAAATGTTGCCTGGGGGCGATATTTTTCGGATGGGCACTCAGGACATATACCTCTGGGCTCCATAGTTTGCGTAGTAAAGTGTGTCCAAGTAGGTAGAAGCATCTAAGCAGAAGCGCGCATATGATTGGAATCCTTCGCCTTTGCTGCTAAGCTACTGATTACCTTGTGTACTTAGCAAATCATGTTGGTGGCCATTTAAGGCAGATATTGGTTGGCTTTAAGCGGTGTGATTGGTCGAGCGCAAGGCAATAGATAAGGGATATTTTAGTATCCTGAGGTCAAAAAACACCCCGGTAAAACGCCATTAGTAGGGGGTGGATATGCTTAAGAGGCTCTCGTGGGTTCGATGTAGATGCATCTCGAGGCGTCTAATAATACCGTCCAAAAGCGGTCTCCCCGAAAGTTCCATTTGTGGCAGCCAGCAGGAATATATTAGTGGCCTGGATCGGGTCACAGACGAACTTAAGGTTGGAATGCAATACATAGAGACAGCGTGCATATATTCGCACTGATATATTCGCACTGGTGTATTGGCGCTGATGTATTTGTACCTTATTGAATGGAGGAGAGCCCGGACTCCGCCGATCCCCCAGTCCCCCACACATTTCTATTGTAGTTCAACTCGTCTCTCCCCAGTGTGTTTGACTCTTGGACACTTGGCAACTAGAGACACTGTGACCTGTCTTCAGCCAGACGGAACACGGTACGACATCATGGTCCTAATATCGAAAGGATGATCGTTTTCCGTATATCCGATGTATGTATATGCAGGTGCGGTCCATGCCCGTCACGAGGGAAACATGGGATGGATATGATAGCTGACGAGCATTAATACATATTATCATCGGTGGCGTGGGGATGAAGCGCATAGGACCTGAGGTCCTTGGCAGCCTTAAAGCAGGATAACATAACAAGGTTAGTATAGTAATCACATCTAACATGATTCTTATCTTTTGGGACCGCCTTTGTGGTAGGCTAGCACCATCGCAAAGCCTTGGCTTGCTGGTTGGTGAGTTGGAGTTAGCGCGGTTAAAATCATGTTGCTTGGTGTTTTCGCATTAGTACAATTAGGACATGTATTATTGATGTTCAGCTACGACGATAAGCTTCAACGACTGCGGGGAATACATAGGTATGGAAAAGGGAAACAGGAACCTTCTAGGGTCCCCCCTCCTCTTTCTCCCCTGATGGATGACTAACAGCCGTCTCGAGGGCTAGACCTATTAAGTTGTGACTTCCTTCGCTATTCAACCCCTTTTTGGTAGCTTCTATTTCAACTCATCAGATGCAACTGTCTATCACGATCTTTCCTTCCTTTCTAAGGCTATATATCCATCACGTTAATATACATGGGACATTGCTACTATCCATTTTCAGCCTTCCTTTGCATCGAAGCCATGTTTAAGGTTTTGTTCACGTGTTTGCCTCTACTCAAACCCCACATGATATGTTAGGTATCTAGTTATCTTCCTCCTGCAAGATAGATTAAAAGAGTTGCCAGGATGGTCATGATATGTAACCTAGTATTGTAAAGAAATTTGATACTCGGTGTGTATGTAAGATATAGTACCTACATGTAGGTATTTAGACCGTGGTTTGTATTTTGTGGTTTGTATTTTGTATTTTGTATTTTGTATTTTGTTTGCACGGGCGGGCAGTTTTGCACTAAATTCACAATTCACCACTATTTATTTTATATGAAAGGGGCCTCCAATTCATGCCGTGTAACTATCTCATCTCGGGCATTATAGGTTACACTTTACACTTTACACTTTACACTTGAAAGCCATAGGTTGAACGTGTCATATGTTCAACATCCAACATCGAGGCTGACAGGCTCGACTTACGGCCAACAGGTAAAAAGGAGAGATTCCTATAGGTACATATAATTAGAAAAACAAGGTACTTTCATATTTTATTAAATGGAACTGTTACCTTATGTATCTAGGTAAGTTTACACGACATAATTAACATGAAAAGCTGAAAAGAGTCAGGTTCGTACGTTGCCTTAATACCTTAGGTACCTAAGGTAACCATCATAGAGCTAACTACATAAGTATTGATATTGTATATTGCTCGGCCATCTTAAATTACAACATAGCCTACTTGATATGATATTTGATATTATATCAGCATTCCTTTATAGCACTGTAGACATTTCGAATCCTTGGCTAACTTACACATGTTCCAATAAGCGTCGAGCACCTAGCATCCTGGAGTCCGGTGTGGAAATCCATAGAGAAAATATTGACGAAATATATTAATTTATTAGAGCCACACTGCTTGTGCATCTCTAGCATGACGTCGTCGGCCGTTAACACCGGGGGCGGACGCGAGCCGAAAGGCCAACCTGATAAGCCTTCTATACGCAGCTTCTGCATGCTGCCGCGTGGGCTCCAAAGCCTTGGTGGCATTGTTAGACTCGGGCCGACCTACCCATTCAGAACTCGAGGCACTGC